CGCACGTATTAGAACGCGCTCTGCTAACTGTGCAATAAGCAGCGACTGCGCTTGGGCTGCGCTGCAGTGTGATCAACATTATAAGAATTTATTTGTTGAATAATTTAATTTCTAGACGTACAATCTTAATGAAACTTTCAGAACATAATCATAATGTTCAAATGTATGTATATTGCAAAGCACAAGTCTCTAGTATTTGAAATACGCTTTTTACAAAGGTGATGGTGAGGGGGTAGAAATAGGAGTGGGGGGTAAATTTTAACAAAAATCGAAATTGTATAAAATATATATGTCTACATTTAAAATTCGGAACCTCTAGCTCTATAAGGTTTTTAATCGATAATTAAATACCGAGAGTATTTATCGATATTTAGAGAAAAACTTGATATGCGCGTGATATACACGGACCTAGGAAAACAAATTTCAAGTCTCTAGCTCTTATATCTTCTGAGATCGACGCGTTCATACATACGGACGGACGGACGGACGGACGGACGGACAGACGGACGGACAGACGGACAGGGCCAAATCGACTCAGCTCGTCGCCCTGATCAAGAATATATATAGTTTGTGGGCTCTGCCACGCCTCCTTCTGCCTGTTACATACTTTAAACAAAACCATTATACCCTGATTTCCCATTTTCAATGGGTTCAGGCCCTGACCTTCAGGGTATAAAAACATATCATACAACACGTATTATTATAATTTATTTATCATTCTGTTTTATCTTTCTTTTCTTAATTCCTACGGACTCTCTCTATTCGCACGAAAACATATAAGTTTATGTGTTAAAAAAAAAGTCAAATTGAAACCATTTACACTAAAGAAATGCTCAAAGTCCACAATCAAATAGTAAAGCATATGTACTGTGTTTATACCCTGAACCCATTGAAAATGGGAAATCAGGGTATAATGGTTTTGTTAAAAGTATGTAACAGGCAGAAGGAGGCGTGGCAGACCCCACAAAGTATATATATTCTTGATCAGGGCGACGAGCTGAGTCGATTTGGCCCTGTCCGTCTGTCCGTCTGTCCGTCCGTCCGTCCGTCCGTCCGTCCGTCCGTCCGTATGTATGAACGCGTCGATCTCAGAAGATATAAGAGCTAGAGACTTGAAATTTTTTTTCCTAGGTCCGTGTGTATCACGCGCATATCAAGTTTTTCTTTTTATATCGATAACTACTCCCGATATTTTATTATCGATTAAAAACCTTATCGAAAGCTAGTTATTTAATTATATCTCCTACACCTTTAGAGCTAGAGCTTACAAATTTCAAATGTAGACTTATATATATTTTATATAATTTCGATTTTTGTTGTAATTTACCCCCACCCCTATATCAACCCCCTCACCCTCACCTTTGTAAAAGGCGTATTTCAAGTACTAGAGACGTGTGCTTTGGATTGTACATACATTTTCACCATATGGTTACGCTCATAAAGTTTCGTTAAGATTGTACGTCTAGAAATTAAATTATTCAACAAATAAATTCTTATAATGTTCCCCACACTGCAGCGCAGCCCAAGCGTAGTCGCTGCTTACTGCGGAGTTAGCAGAGCGCGTTCTAATACGTGCGTGTGTATGTATGTATGCCGAAAAGAAGTGCAGAGGGATTAGTATATCAAATTAGAGGGTTCAGGGTATCTCCTAGTTGAGCAGTCTCGACTAGAGTCTTCTTACTTGTTTTAATATAATGTGTTGTGTTTTAATAGGTTTCAAAAGTAACCCTCCATGATCAAATGAAACTGACTTAGAGTCTCTAAATACCCGCCACCTTGACAAAGTTCTTAAACATATAAACCAATTTTATTAAAGCCACACATTTTTATACCCTGAACCCATTGAAAATGGGAAATCAGGGTATAATGGTTTTGTTAAAAGTATGTAACAGGCAGAAGGAGGCTTGGCAGACCCCACAAAGTATATATATTCTTGATCAGGGCGACGAGCTGAGTCGATTTAGCCCTGCCCGTCTGTCTGTCCGTCCGTCACGCGCATATCAAGTTTTTTCTTATATATCGATAATTACTCCCGATATTTTATTATCGATTAAAAACCTTATCGAAAGCTAGTTATTTAATTATATCTCCTACACTTTTGAAGCTAGAGCTTCCAAATTTTTAATGTAGACTTATATGTATTTTATATAATTTCGATTTTTGTTGTATTTTACCCCCCACCCCTATATCCAACCCCTCACCCTCACCTTTTTAAAAGGCGTATTTCAAGTACTAGAGATACGTGCTTTAGAATGTACATACATTTTTACCATATAATTACGCTCTAAAAGTTTCATTTAGATTGTACGTCTAGAAATTAAATTATTCAACAAATAAATTCTTAAAATGTTGCCCACACTACAGCGCAGCCCAAGCGCAGTCGCTGCTTACTGCGCAGTTAATACGTGCGTGTGTATGTATGTGTGTCGAAAAGAAGTGCAGACTGATTAGAATATCAGATTAGAGGGTTCAGGGTATCTCCTAGTCGAGCAGTCGCGACTAGAGTCATCTTACTTGTTATATTTTCAAGTTAGTATAGGTTCCTTAATCGAAAGAAAAGCGCACTCATAATAATTCAAATACTTATTGGACATCATGTATTAAAATAAAAGTCACACATTTCAAAGCTGAATAGACAAATCTATTATTTATGGACAAAAGGATCAGATAAGACTTATTCAAGAACGCATTCAATTGTCAGCCTAAATAATAAATAAAATTTAACATTTTAATTGAACTGAAGGAATATTTATGAGCCTTCTGACGAACAGATAAGACACAGCAAAATCGCATTTCCATCCAGATAACGTTAGTATAAAAAGCCGTTGAAAAACTTCAAAAATCACAAGTTGAATATTCATCATGAAGGTGTTGATAACTATTCTGGCTTTGGCTGTTGTCTCTGCCTCGGCATTCGAGGAGGTCGTCCATCCTAAGGACCTTGCAAAGGTCAACAAGATCGAAGGTCGCATTACCAATGGCTACCCAGCCTATGAAGGTAAAGCTCCTTACACTGTTGGCTTGGGCTTCAGCGGCGGCTGGTGGTGCGGTGGCTCCATCATAGGCCACACCTGGGTGCTGACCGCCGAGCACTGCACGGGTAGCGATGTCACAGTATACTTCGGTGCCACCTGGCGCACTAACGCCCAGTTCACCCACTGGGTCAGCCGCAACGACATCATCAACCACCACAACGCTGATATTGCATTGATCCGCATTCCCCATGTGGACTTCTGGCAGATGGTTAACAAGGTTGAGCTACCCAGCTACAATGATCGCTACAATGACTACAACGAATGGTGGGCTGTTGCTTGCGGTTGGGGCGGCACTTACGATGGTAGCCCATTGCCCGATTGGCTTCAGTGCGTTGATCTGCAGATCATTCACAACTCCGAGTGCCAGCAAACATATGGTTCTGGAACTGTTACCGACAACATTCTCTGTGTGCGAACTCCTGATGGTAAGTCCACCTGCGGTGGTGACTCTGGCGGCCCATTGGTCACACATGACGGCAACAAACTGGTCGGCGTGACCAACTGGGTCTCTGCTGCCGGTTGTCAATCTGGACATCCATCTGGCTTCCAGCGTGTTACCTATCACTTGGACTGGATCCGTGACCATACTGGAATTGCTTATTATTAAGCTATGGCTGCCTTACGACTTAAATAAAGCATTAAAAAACTATTCTTATTTGCAATTTTTATTAACTGGTCCAAAGATGCTGTTGTGGAAAATGCTACCGATTCATAGGAAATTTCTAGTAATGGGTGCATGGGTAGGAGATATCTTTAAATTTTCTTAAATATAAAATACAAAATTTTAAGAACCTAGCTCCATAAATGCACGACACAATTATAAAATATAATAATAAAAGAATTCCGATAGTGATGACCTAAAATGTATTCAACCAGTCTCGATTTTCGAGTCCAGCTCTAGTTATCTAGCTCCTTTACGTTCTAGGATCAGCGCAAACAATTCATACAGTCAGCGCACCGTCCTGCTCTTTTAACACTTTTGTGGACAGGTGAGCCTCCTTCTGACTTGCCCGTCGCCTAAAATTTAACTAAAGCCTGATTTCCCACTTTCGGTAAGTTAAACTAGCTCCTTTCATAGTAACTTTTTATACTCATTCACGAAAGTGAATTATTATACTCATTCACGAAAGTGCAATAGTATATTGGTTTTGTGCAATCTCCGTCTTGCTGTCCGTCCGTCAGTCCGTATGAACGCAGTTTATTTCGGCCCTATTGAAGCTAGAGACTTGAAATTTGGGACACATACTCGTGTATATCTCTGATTTATAAAGTGTTTAAATTTTCCCGATCCGTCCACTAAGGGCGTGGGAAATCGGAAAATGCATTTTCCGATATGCCAGGAATCATATTAGTTGAAGAGCTAGAAAGCTAAAAATTGCAATGTAGATCCGCGTCAACCACCCAAGATCACTAGCTATGACGCCCATTGGGGGCGTGGCAAACCGCAAAAGATTATATCTCCTAAAGTATAATGGCTACCCTGTAATTTTCACAAATTTTGATCGTAAGCATTCAAATGTTGCAGTTAGAGTACCGTTAGCTCTTTCTATGAACTGACCAAAAATGAGGTGTCTACGCCCAGCAGGGGCGTGGCAAATCGGAGAAAACTTAATTTCCTACAGTATTGCAGCTAAACTTAGCTACTAAATTGCTGATGTGACGTGAATGAGTATTCCGCACTCGGTAACACCCGACTGCAACGTTCTTACTTGTTAATCATATGATCTACCCAAAAATATATAGGAAAATATTTAAAATATCAATCTTCGATTCGTCAATAAGCAGTCACTGAACTTGTATTAAGAACTAGCATAGTTAGAGCACAACTTATAAATTGAAATTTTGATATCCCGATCCCATGAATTATGGAAAATATTATGGATTTTGAAAAAATGTTCCAAAGTCACTTATAATTAACATCTGATTCCTCAATTTTTGGTGCTTATTAAAGAGATAACTCTGAAATATAGTTCAATGAAGTTTATTTTTTATTCAAAAAGCCAACTAATAGTAAGCAATTCCAGTGTGGTCACGGATCCAATCCAAGTGATATGTGACACGCTGGAAGCCAGCAGGAGCCCCAGATGTGCAGGAAACTGTGCCAAAGTTTGTGACACCGACCAGTTTGTTACCGTCATGTGTAACCAATGGGCCGCCAGAGTCACCACCGCAGGTGGACTTACCATCAGGAGTTCGCACACAGAGAATGTTGTCGGTAACAGTTCCAGAACCATATGTTTGCTGGCACTCGGAGTTGTGAATGATCTGCAGATCGACGCACTGAAGCCAATCGGGCAATGGGCTACCATCGTAAGTGCCGCCCCAACCGCAAGCAACAGCCCACCATTCGTTGTAGTCATTGTAGCGATCATTGTAGCTGGGTAGCTCAACCTTGTTAACCATCTGCCAGAAGTCCACATGGGGAATGCGGATCAATGCAATATCAGCGTTGTGGTGGTTGATGATGTCGTTGCGGCTGACCCAGTGGGTGAACTGGGCGTTAGTGCGCCAGGTGGCACCGAAGTATACTGTGACATCGCTACCCGTGCAGTGCTCGGCAGTCAGCACCCAGGTGTGGCCTATGATGGAGCCACCGCACCACCAACCGCCGCTGAAACCAAGACCAACAGTGTAGGGTGCCTTGCCCTCGTAGGCTGGATAGCCGTTTGTAATGCGGCCGGAGATATCCTTTACGTTAATAGCCTTCTCTGCAGCACCGGGCAACGCAGCGCCAGAAGCGGAGGCAGTAGCCAAAGCGAGAATAGTAAGAAGTACTTTCATATTGATACGAACTGAGCAACATTTGGTTCTGCAGCTGATTTTATACACAATTTGAGCACACGCATTTTGTTAAATTAAATGCATTATAAATTATGAACAATAAATGATAATACCAGATAAGCGGTCACAATTTATGCAAAATCTTTGAAACTTTATAAACAGTTGATAAAGGTATGAAAACTCATAGCGTCATAATATTAAATTTATTATAATTTAAAATATTTCATCCATCCATATAAAAAGAATGAATATGAGCATTAGCTTATACTAACTGCATGCTAAATGCAAAACTCCACCGATTAATCGCCCTCATGGCGGTTGAGTGCGCTGCCAATTTGTGTATATCAATAAATAAAAAATTAAAAAATAATGTAAATGATTTCCTCAATAAAAATTATAAGAGAGGATTTTATATAACTCAAGGAATATTTATAGACTCTTGAGCGGCCAGATAAGACCTTGCATGATCGAGATTCTATAAAGAAAAAGAATGTATAAAAGGCCCTTGAACGACTTTAAAAACCACAAGTTGAATATTCACCATGAAGGTGTTGATAACTATTCTGGCTTTGGCTGTTGTCTCTGCCTCGGCATTCGAGGAGGTCGTCCATCCTAAGGACCTTGCAAAGGTCAACAAGATCGAAGGTCGCATTACCAATGGCTACCCAGCCTATGAAGGTAAAGCTCCTTACACTGTTGGCTTGGGCTTCAGCGGCGGCTGGTGGTGCGGTGGCTCCATCATAGGCCACACCTGGGTGCTGACCGCCGAGCACTGCACGGGTAGCGATGTCACAGTATACTTCGGTGCCACCTGGCGCACTAACGCCCAGTTCACCCACTGGGTCAGCCGCAACGACATCATCAACCACCACAACGCTGATATTGCATTGATCCGCATTCCCCATGTGGACTTCTGGCAGATGGTTAACAAGGTTGAGCTACCCAGCTACAATGATCGCTACAATGACTACAACGAATGGTGGGCTGTTGCTTGCGGTTGGGGCGGCACTTACGATGGTAGCCCATTGCCCGATTGGCTTCAGTGCGTCGATCTGCAGATCATTCACAACTCCGAGTGCCAGCAAACATATGGTTCTGGAACTGTTACCGACAACATTCTCTGTGTGCGAACTCCTGATGGTAAGTCCACCTGCGGTGGTGACTCTGGCGGCCCATTGGTCACACATGACGGCAACAAACTGGTCGGCGTGACCAACTGGGTCTCTGCTGCCGGTTGTCAATCTGGACATCCATCTGGCTTCCAGCGTGTTACCTATCACTTGGACTGGATCCGTGACCATACTGGAATTGCTTATTACTAATCTATTGCTGACATAAATAAATTAAAGAAATCATTTTGAAATCTATTCTTTTTGCTAGTTTGTATTAACTAGATGCCATAAGGCATTTTTTAACTATATTTCCTTTAAGTATTTCTTCTAAGCATTTCCTCCAAGTCTATAAAGCAAAGCTGAATGATCATTGAATATTAACACATACTTTACTTCGATATACACTGCATGACTGATCCCCACCAGAGCGACTGAAGAAATGCTGCACTGGCTGCCTTTTATAATAAGCGTCTTTCTCAGAATCACTAAGTCGCGCTCAAACGTTGGGCCCGGCGGCAGGTATGGGTCGTTGCAGTCGAGCGTTAAGTAACCAATGGAAACACTCTCTGCTGATGCATGCATTCTAGCTTCGCTTTATTTACATATAAATACCAAATTAATACTGCTGCATATATATAGACAAATTAAATGATATTCTGTAGTTATTGACGTTTGTTAGGCCACAGACAGTGACACAGACTGTGAGGTTGGCAGGAAGTCAGAGTGAGCGACAGATTTACAGACAGATATATAGACAGACAAACACATATACAAGAATAATGTATATGCTTAAAAAGCTTAAGTAGCTTAATATTTATAATGATTATATGGCGTAGACTGCAGTTTCGTGTATTCCGGCTATTCCATCCCATACTCATTTTCATTGGATTTATTATTGATAGACTATATCTTTTTCAAATAGGCTATATCTAGCATGAAATATGCTGACCTGGCAACACTGGTCTCGAGTAGAGCGCGCTTGTTATTTATTAACAGAACACATTTCATAGAAACTCTTAATAGTAGGCAACGCCAGAGTTGTCGCGGATCCACTCCAATTGGTTGGTGACACGAGTGAAGCCAGATGGCAGACCAGAAGTGCAGCCGTCAGCAGAAACCCAAGAAGTGACACCCACCAATTTGCCACCATCATGGAGCACCAATGGGCCGCCAGAGTCCCCGCTGCAGGTAGATTTACCGCCGGGCGTGGCAACGCACAGAATACCATCGGGCTGGGGGCCATAGGTCTGGGAGCACTGGCTATTGCTGATGATCTGTAAATCCACGCACTGTAGCCAATCGGGCATTGGGCTACCATCGTAGGTGCCGCCCCAGCCGCAGGCAACAGCCCACCAGCCATCGTACATATTGTAGCGATCGTTGAAGCTGGGCAGCTCCACCTTGTTGACCATTGACCAGAAATCGACATGAGGAGTATGGATCAGAGCGATATCATTACCATTGTTGTGTGGCCAGTTGTGGTTCTGTCTGAACTCTCCGCTGCCCACAGTGTGGGTGAACTGGGCGTTGGTACGCCACGTTGCACCGTAGTATATGGTCACAGAGCTGGCGCCGTTGGTGCAGTGAGCAGCTGTCAGCACCCAGTCGTGAGCAATGATGGAGCCACCACACCACCAGCCATTGAAGCTTAAGCCAACGGTGTAGGGGGCCTTGCCCTCGTATGCGGGGTAGCCATTGGTAATGCGACCCTCGATCTTGGCAGACCTGGGTAGATCCTTGGGATGGACCTGCTCCATTGTTGCGGCGGCAACGGCAGCGGCTGCCAAAGCGAGTACTATGAAAACCTTCATGTTAACTGAACAACTCATACCATTTACAATCAACCAGGTCGCTTTTATACTATTTTCTGCGTGAATTATATCTTGGTACACACTTAAGACTTTGATAAAGCAATTAAGAAGTTGATTTTTATGTGATATTGGAATATACTGATAAATAACTAATTAATATATTTACTTAAAATACATATATATATATATATATATATATATATATATATATATATATATATATATATATATATATATTAATATGCTTTCACGTCCGCTAGAATTTGTTAATTTGGTAATCAATATTTAAAGGATGCTCATAAAACGTTTATACTACCTAGGAATTCGCTTTTCAACTAATAGATCGTGATAATATTTAAGGCTGTGCATATAAAGCGAGCATCCAAAGAGTTCCATCAAATAATTTCTAATTATAACATATAAAACAAGTGAGAAAGCTCTAGTCGAGACTTTCCGACTACGAGAACCCTTCCCCTGAACCCTTCGAGCAACTGATATTTCAATAATTATTCGCATATGCACACATACACGCACTCACCCAGACATACGTACACACGCATAAACACGCATTGGCTTACCATGGGAAGTTAATTGTTTAATAACTTTTCTTGTAGGTGGACTATTTTCATGAAACTTTCAGATTTACAGATTCAGAATATAACATAGATATGCATGCATTTGCCAAAGCACAAGTCCCTAGTATTTGAAATATAACAAGCAAGGGCGCCTTCGAAGAGCTGATATTCATATCATTCTGCACACATACACATACGCACACGCAGTGCAGTACATTACGCGCTCTGCCGCAGCGATTGAGCTTGTGCAGCAATGTTCCCAGGACTATGAGTAATTTTTTTTGTAGATGGATTTTCGAAATCAAACTCAGAATGTGATAGAGGCATTCATTTGGATACATTTACCATATGGGTATATTTGTACATACATATAAAATATACAATAACAATATACCAAATCTATAATGTATAACATTACATACAATGCACTCGTTATTCATTATTCTATGTATAAGGCAGATATATTTTAAAATGTAATTAACAAAACAATCTGTGTTAGAAGGATCAATGAAATACAACAGGAAATATTGATTGTAATCATTCATAATTTTTTAGTATTGTACGGCACTTTTCCAAATCACTCAAAAACACTTTAATTTATTTACACCGATAACACGATTGTAAAAATTGAGTTAGTTGTGGGTACATTTCATCGATAAGATACGACTAGACTAGCATCTATTAAACCTGCATATGTATACTGTTTTTGACAAGCAATAAACTTAAGCATCCGGTGGTTGAAAATAATGGATTTTTGATATACATATGTATATAGATTAACCTAAGTTTTACCTGTGATTGTAGAATCATAAGATCATTTGTGGTTCTTTACTTAAACTCAATTCAGTCTCGATTTGAAGTACAATATCTGTCTAATCCTAGCCTAAGCTAGGAGAACACATAAATAGAATGTATAGGCCATGATAAAAATAATAAAAATTTATGATTTATAATGGAATAATTGCTAATGGCTGAGTTAATATCAAGAATTAATCCGCAGAGGGATAGAAATTTGTGCGGGTTTAGGTAAGTATCATTCTGATAGACATTAAACAATTACGTGTTTATTGTCTATTAAAAATTCAAGTAGAAGCAAAAGCTCACGGCTCAGGAGATTTACTTAGTATATTTATACTTGAGTTATAGATTTTTACATTCTACTGTCTGCATCTATCCCAACCTTCTTCATTTGAGTTTATTATCTTATCTAAACTGACGGAAATTCTACTTAAATCTGGCTGTCAATTGATAATGAGGGATTTCCAATAAACAATATGCTCCCGAATTCTCCAATTTCTAGTCTAGCAATGGACAGGCAGACTGTCAGGCGAAGAATTTCATAGACATTGCCAAAAACCAACTCATAAACCAGCTTAATGCAGTTTCCTACTATCTATCTGATATATCATTTGGTCACGAATCGAAAACGTGATTTTTAAGAGTTAGCAGAAGTGGGCGTACTCGCATTTCAATCAATCACAATTTTAGAGTATTATATGGCACCTATTCAAATTCTTTGCAAAGACTTTAATTTATTTGCACAGATAAGGAAATTGTAAAAACCGCGTACTGACAGATACTCAGTACATTTAATCGAAACTATATTATTAAATGTATAAAAAACCAAACTGCTCCGAAACTAGAATAGCTGTAGACAAGTCAATCGAGCAGATCGCCACGTTACCACAACTTGACTCCGAAAGCATTGAAGTGCGGTTACTGATTTCAATTAAACTTTCAGTCAAGGATCTACAAATATTATAACTACTATTTAAGTGGCAGATTATATTAAATATTCCATATTTGCATATATTGCTTAGGTTTGCAAATGAGTTTAATATAAACTAATTTCAAGCTCTAAAAAATTAACGACTTTGCTTAAATTAAAATGAAACCATGACTTCCTGCAAAATCAACTCAGGTCATTATCCGCCGCAATACTACATATATGATATGTGCCACGTCTACTTCTGATCGATATATATGTATATCAAGTGTCCACTGCATATCGAGGTGTTCAATTTATCAGACCAAATAATGACTAGACAATAATTAAATTTATGAACCAAGATTTGATACAAAGGTTCGATTAAAATCAATTCGTGCTATTGAAATACAAATAATTTCAATACCGTCCTTAACTTATCAGCCTCGGACAAGGATTAGGTACGAATAAAATTTATGAGCCATGATTAGCAAAATAAGACTTTAGAGAGACTTTGATAAGAGAAAGTCAAATGTGTATATAAGCATTGGAAATGTTTGCTTAGGGCACAATAGACATTCGAGAATGAAGTTATTCGTATTTCTGATCTTTGCTGTAGCAACAGCCACCGCTGTCCCCACCGGAGCAAAGAAACCTTTGCGGGTGATGGATATGCCCAAGCAGGGCAGCATCGAAGGTCGTATTACAAATGGCTATCCAGCATATGAGGGCAAGGTACCCTATATTGTGGGCCTGAGCTTCAACGGCGGCTGGTGGTGCGGTGGTTCAATTATTGGCCACACCTGGGTCCTGACTGCCGGCCACTGCATTAAAGATGGCTCCGGCGTAACCATCTACTATGGTGCCAGCTTCCGTCATGAGGCTCAGTTCACCCACTGGGTCAGCGGCAACGACCAGATCCGTCATCCCCACTACAATGATCAGCTGAACAACGATATTGCCCTTATCCGTACACCTCATGTCGACTTCTGGCACTTGGTCAATAAAGTTGAGCTTCCCAGCTACAACGATCGCTACAATAACTATAATGGCTGGTGGGCTGTGGCCTCTGGCTGGGGACACACCTCCAATGACAGCGGCATGCACAACTATCTGAACTGCGTGGATGTCCAGATCATCAGCAACGACGAGTGCCGCAACGTCTATGGCGGTGGCTACGTGATCGACAACACCATCTGCATCAACACATCTGGCGGCAAGTCCACCTGCAGCGGCGACTCTGGCGGCCCATTGGTTACACACGACGGCAACCGAATTGTGGGCATTACATCCTTTGGTCATTGGGACGGCTGCACTGCCGGCCAACCCGCTGGCTTCACTCGCGTCACTGGCTACCTGGACTGGATTCGTGACAATACTGGTATCTCCTACTAAATGGAATACTTTTAAATAATAAATATTGAAAGCTTATGGCAAAAAAAAAAAAAAAAAACATTAGCATCGATATTTGGGAAGTGGATTGATATAGATTTAAGTATAGCCCCTTAAGATTTTCTGTTATAGAGTGTTCCCAGCTTGCACTTAATGTCTATGAGCATCAGTGGATTTACTATCATGCCCATCTTAATATAAGCAAGTACCACTTAAAAGTTCAATTCTCTTGATTTTACTATCTAATCTCAACTGGCGGAAATTGTATTTATATCGGACTGACAAGACTTGTTCGCGATAGACCCTAATCAAAACACAGATTATTATTCTCATGGCTAAATTCATTCATACAAATTTCGGGAGCAACTGATAACGAGCAACTCATGATAAAGAATCTTTATGCGCGTGGATATATCTCTACTACGCAGAGTCAGCGAAGCACCGCATTCCTATCCATGAGAAGAGAGCTCCATGGCAACTAAAACCTTCTGAATCGTAGACGCAACTTCTAGAAGTCATCAAAAATTGATGTATTTGCTTTGCAGTCAATCCCAATGCTCAATTTATTTGCAAATACTTTTAATATTATGTTTTGAAGCTCTATCAAATCGGCTAGAATCCCACAGGTCTAACAGCAAAACTAATTAAGTTAAATTTCGTGAACAACAGAAGAAACGCATCGACATATCGATCTATAGATTCAATGTTTCGATTTTTCAAGTGACTTCATATCCCTCCCAATTTCCCTAGTGAGTAATTAAATGGTCACGTAGTTTTCATGCCTCTTTTATTTGTTATTTTTCAATTTAATAGTAAGCTACGCCAGAGTTGTCGCGGATCCACTCCAACTGGTTGGTGACCCGAGTGAAGCCAGATGGCAGACCAGCAGTGCAGCCATTACCAGAAACCCAAGAGGTGACACCCACCAATTTGCCACCATCATGGAGCACCAATGGGCCGCCAGAGTCCCCGCTGCAGGTAGACTTACCGCCGGGCGTGGAAACACACAAAATACCATCGGGTTGATGACCATAGGTCTGGGAGCACTGGCTATTGCTGATGATCTGCAGGTCCACGCATTGCAGCCAATCGGGTTGGGAGCCGCCATCAGAGGTTATGCCCCAGCCACAGGCAACAGCCCACCAGCCATCGTACATGTTGTAGCGATCGTTGAAGCTGGGCAACTCCACCTTGTTGACCATTGACCAGAAATCGACATGAGGAGTGTGGATCAGAGCGATATCATTACCATTGTTGTGTGGCCAGTTGTGGTTCTGTCTGAACTCTCCGCTGCCCACAGTGTGGGTGAACTGGGCGTTGGTACGCCACGTTGCACCGTAGTATATGGTCACAGAGCTGGCGCCGTTGGTGCAGTGAGCAGCTGTCAGCACCCAGTCGTGAGCAATGATGGAGCCACCACACCACCAGCCATTGAAGCTTAAGCCAACGGTGTAGGGGGCCTTGCCCTCATATGCGGGGTAGCCATTGGTAATGCGACCCTCGATCTTGGCAGACCTGGGTAGATCCTTGGGATGGACCTGCTCCACTGCTTCCGCGGAAAGGGCAGCGACTGCTAAAGCGAGTACTATGAAAGCCTTCATGCTTAACACACAATTGCTGTCTTTCGACGCAATGAAGCGTATTTTATATGGGTTTTGTATCATATCAATTGTACTTCAACAGATATCAAACACTCATTCAAATTGTATATATATTCATTTATTTCAACGATCATCAACGATTGTGTGCTTATCAAAGTTTCGCATAATATACCATTACCTTTATTTGCCCCGACATCTCACTATTACCTATATACAAATAATAAATAGGGGCCACAGGTTCCATTTCCAGTTTAAACGAAGTCAAATAAAATACAACTCGACTATCTTGTTTTATATATCTATATTCTATAGTTTTGCATATCAGCCATCAGAATTTTAAACCCGTATTTTTAACATTTAATAATATTCAGTACGTTTTCATAAACGCACTTTAATGTTAAATACAGGTCAGACTAAACTACTACTAAACAATTTAATTTTCATGACGTATTTCAATTTTTAAATTACCCGCTACCGTGAGACGACATCTATTGGAGATGACGGTAAGCATTCAAACGCGACTAAGCAAGTTTTAATCGATATACATCGATAAGAAATCGAGCAAATAAAGAGGTTATGTTAATAACAGAGAAAAACAGCTGGAAACTCTAAAGCTGAAACAGTCACAACATTCGAAATTGCTGCTATTATTTTAATTAATTATTTTATCAACAACAAAAAAACAAATAAATAACCTGAAATACATACATAGTTATAAGATCCCAAACAAAATTCAATTTCGCATATTGCACTTAACATCATATTGAATGTCAAAAAATTTTTCCCAGCTATGTTAAATAACATAGTTGCTTCATTTTCAGCTTCGTCTTAAAAATCAAAAAAGGGAAATAGTAAATATCAACACTAAGCGATTTAAGCGCAGGAAAAAATCTTGATATTCAACAGCATGTTAAAGATTGAATAATGGAAAATATTGTGCACAAATTTGCAACGATTAGTTTTCAGCCACAAGAGGTTGTCTTAACAGAGAATCGGTAAGTTCACCGAAGCGAAAGAAGCAAAAAGAAACATTAAAAGTAAATGGAGACAACGTAATATTTTAGCACTGCACCAATTTCCAAGTTTTCTTGGAATCTTAAATCAGGGGCTCCCACAAATATAGCCGATGAAATGCTGGACTCGGAAAGCCCTGATACGGACCACTCGGATGAGGTGGACTCGCAGCTAAGCCGCGGCGAGGATAACGACGAAAGTGATAGCTATAGCAGCAGCTACCGCAATGGTCGTCGTGGCGGAGTTGCCCGACGGCGAATGCCCGCTCGCATCTCTAAAGACAATTTTAATCGGGTGTGCAGCACCATTATGCGTACAGAAGTGAAGAAGAAACGTAATGAGCTACAAACAAATGAACAGATGCTGCGCAGCATTGAGAAGATCTACACGAGCAAGCGCATGAAGAAATTTACGCCTACTAGTCTGGAGACTATATTCGAGGAGCCCAGCGATGAAAATGCTGCCGATGCCGAAGACGATAGCGAGGAATGCGCCATTACCAGCCAAGTGCGGGTTGTTAAATTCGGTTCTCGCAAGTTGCGACGGGCCATCTCCTTTAACGATGGCCTCACAAAGAACAAGAATCTTATCAAAAAACGCCGCTTGAAGGTGAAGAAAACGTTTGGCAAACGTTTTGCTCTTAAAAAGATCTCAATGACCGAATTCCACGATCGACTTAACAAAAGTTTGGACAGCGCAATGTCTGATACTGGCGACGATGTACCAACTAGCAGCAGTATGGATATAAAGTCCACAGTCTGTACATTCATGGACGATATGCAACTAGCGAGACATACGCCGACATTTGAATAGATAGGGGGAGTCGTCGGACGGTCTGTAAGGAGAAGCTTTGATGAACAGAATGGAAAAGGCTAAAATTTAAATACATTAACAGATTCAAGATGATGACAAGTTAAGTAAATTGTACGCATCACCGAAGTATATGGCTGCTTGCCGTCAACAGTCAAGACTAACTCAATAAAATAGCGGGATCTTTGTTCCCCGAATGTCCACTTCCAACCGATGTACTTATTGCCTGGTCAATTGTACTGATTATCAATTTAGCTAAGTCTTATGTAAGATTTTTTTAATTTAATGTTTATATAGGAAGTGCAGTTGAGCATTAAAACATAATTTAATTTAATTTAAGCATTGTTTGCATTGAGCGCCTGAAACTATTTATGTTCTATGTTTATGAATAGTCTTAAATATATGTAAGCCTGAATACAATTCGAAATTCGATTTAGCAATGAATAGAATTGAAGCAATTTATAATGTATTGATCTATTACTTGTCTTAAGCTCAACTAGGAACTGCATGCGCAATGATGAAATGAATTTTCACTGCCGTAAAAGCACCAAATGAATAAAACAACAAATAATTTAATTTAAACGATCATAAAGTGTAATGAGAAATGAGTTGTAATCACTGACATTATCCAAATGATAAATAGTTCGATCGTGGTGCTAAATTAAATAACGGCAAATGCATTAGCAACTGCAATAAAATTCATGCGCTTATTATTCAGCACACACATACATATTTACTTGCATATCCACATACATACATATATAACATGCAAGAGCGGTAATCATAATTTTGATTATGTATTAAATATCGACGCATGAAACTCAAAACGAAGTAAAGAAACAAATCAAGAAAAACAAAGTAAACTTTTAATACAACACACCGAACAGTCAATACTCTGCGTTTATCATCCAAGCGTATTTAAGAAAAGGGACATATTTTGTAGCATTAGTATTTGCGATATATTAACAACAACATTATATTGATAAAAAATCAATAACAATAGAATTCATATTTGTCTATAATCGAGATAGTAACTAAAATTCCTCTCATACGCTTAGTATTCCTCGAAACTAACTAAAGAGCACAACGAGCAAGCGCTAGCCGCAAAAAAAAAAGGTCTACCAAAACGAGAGGCGAAAAGATTTGCATAATCGACGCCGCTGCTTTTATTTTGTGTTGCTGTCATTACTGTTGTTGTAGTTGCTCCAATGCAGTCGCTGCTGATTGTTGTATTTTGTTGTTGTTAGCCTCATTACATTTGAACATATCACCGATCGCGAGACGATTTGATTTATTTGCTTCGCTAAGCAGGCAAACTGAGCCGCATTTCCTAAATCGACAAAAATAATAATGCCAGCCCGCAAACCAAGAAATACTTTCAACACCAAATTGAAGTTATTTCAACGAATTAATTTAATTATAAATATATGCAACACGTTAGCAGCAGTTGCTACAGAAGGGATGGGGTGCCGGGGTATTTTTGATTTCCTGCTATCGCAAATTCTTCAGTTTCATTCACATGCAAACAATGCTGTTAATTTGCCTATAACTGCGCTGTGCCCTGGCAATAACCTTGGCTTAAGTAAAAAGAGAAAAAGTAAAACAGCCTACTTGGTGGCACAGTGGGCAACCCACACTGTAAAATGTACGAGTTGTGAGTTCACGAATATTGCATGGGATTGCAATACATTCCACTGCCCACAGCCCACTGTAATCTGTGCTTTTATGGTATAAGGGGCATGTCAAAGCGCTGAGCAGGGTAAACAATGCAAAAAACAAATGTATCGTGTAATGTTTTTTGTCTCACTTACCTTTTGCCATCAACAATAACAACATGCGGTATATTTCTGAATGAAAGCATTTTGCCGCATGCTGCGCATTTCACAGCCTACACACACACGAACTTACACACGGGCGTGATGTAATACCTCCAAAGCGAGTAGAGAGGATAAGTAACTAGAGTTACAGCTACATATGTATGTACGTATATGTATATTCACTTTTGAAACTGTAAATGGTAATAACAACAACACAGCGAGCAACGGGCAGATATGACCGTCGACGATGCTTGTCCATATTTGGCTGGCGCACGCACAACCCGAAAAACGCGCACTATGGTAGGAGCCGGCGCCAAAGGGCGAATGACAAATGTCAAAAGAAATACGACGCAAATATAATAAAAGCGCAAGCGTAACACACAGGTCGCAAGAGAGTAAGAGAAAGGAGAGTGATACCAAAAGAGTGCAAGTTGCGGACAGAATAGTGCAAAGAGAGTGTTAATGCAAAAATGGTATATTGAATCGAATGCAATAGGCGGCGACGCGTCGCTGTCGACGTCCAATTAATGCAGCAAAGTAGACGAAATAATTAAAGCAAAGAAAAGAGTTTATAAAAATGCTTGCAACATGCGCGCGCCACCACAGTTGTAAGCGAGACGTTGACTGACAACGAGAGTCCAAGACCAAGGAGAGTATTAAGGCAGCAACATTTACGCGCCTCTCGTAACGGCTTTTCGAAAACTAAACGGGAAACCATTTCAAACGCATTAAAAAAGAGGAGGAAGACTTTTTGTTTGTATGCGTGCACTCACGCGTGTGTGTGTGTACAGCTTAATTAAATTTCAATTAAATATTAAATGCGTGCGCCAGCAGTAAGCAGCAAGAAAAAGCAAAGCAAATGGTTTTACACTCGGCAAGTGTTTCAATTATTGCGACATTGACAGCACAACGCCTGTTGCTGTTGCTGGTCACCTGGATGACCTGGCGCTGCTGCATCCATGTGGCTTTTGCACTAGACTGGCAACAGGTTAAGCCCATGTATTTAGTGTCCATGTATCCGGGCCCGATTGGCATGCCCATGTCACAAACGCCATCAACCACCTCCTTGTCCGCCGAGCTAGATGCGGAAATGAGCGCTAGCAATGACGATAGCCGCATCAGCGACACCTCAACAGGTTCTGCGGAGATTTCAGCGGAGCCAGAGCCCCTGGTGTTAAATTTGGAAACAACACCATTGATGGACAGCATGTTGCCAGAAGGTGCGATGGCGATGGATCGTATCTTTGGCGGCGATGTGGGCAATCCACATTGTTTTCCCTATCAAGTGGGCATGCTGCTGCAGCGTCCAAAGGGTCTCTATTGGTGCGGCGGTTCGCTAATCTCGGAGCAGCATGTGCTAACAGCTGCACACTGTGTGGACATGTAGGCCAAGGTAAATTAACAGCCATGTTTATGTTTAGCTAAGCTGCTCCTTCTGCTCCCTTTTACAGGGCCAAACGCGCGCTGGTTTTCCTGGGAGCAAATGAGATTAAGAATGCTAAAGAGTCGGGACAGGTGCGTCTCATGGTGCCGAGCAGCAATTTTCATATCTATCCCACGTGGAATCCCAAACGCTTAAAAGATGATATTGCAATAGTGCGTCTACCACATGCAGTTAGCTTTAACGGTAAACTAATCCGTATCCCATCTATGCATCTGAAACTAAACTTTTCGTCTTATCAGAGCGCATCCATCCCATACAGTTGCCAAAGCGGCACTACGAGTATCGCAGCTTTAAAAACAAGCTTGGTATTGCCTCCGGCTGGGGACGTTATGCTACAGGTGTGCATGCCATAAGCAATGTGCTGCGCTATGTCCAACTGCAGATAGTCGATGATCGCACCTGTAAGCGTAACTTTCCATTGTCCTTTCGCGGCACAAACATATGCACCAGTGGACGCAATGCCAAGTCTACTTGCAATGGTGACTCTGGTGGCCCACTTGTGCTACAGCGCCGTCATTCAAAGAAACGTGTTCTGGTTGGCATCACCTCGTTTGGCAGTATATATGGCTGCGATCGTGGCTATCCGGCTGCCTTCACTAAAGTGGCCTCTTACCTGGACTGGATTAGCGATGAGACAGGCGTGCATTCGCACCAGGATACCACCGAAGCAATTTTCTTTGATCAGTATGTCAAGAAATATGCCAAGCAGCAATCCAAACGTAATCATCAGATGGTGGACGATGTACCCGACGAACTGGACATCCATCACCCATTTTCCGATGAGGATACGTCGGAGAATCTCAACATACGGCCACATTCCAAACAGAAATCAGAATTCGACTTTTATTTCTTGTAGCTGCCAAGTATTCAGCAAAATAAACCTTTATTTTAAGCAAACATCTTTAATAACCATGATTAGCCACGCCAGTGTTATTCTCGAACCAATCTAAATAAGATGCGATTCGCGTAAACACACCTGGCCAGCCAACAACAATGCCGAACGAAGTAGCACCTATCAAGGTGTTGCTGCCATCCGCCAGGACTAAAGAACCACTGGAATCACCGTTACAGGTGGAAGTGCCGCCAGTGGTCTTGATACACATTACGTTACTAGTCAAAATACCTCCGTACCAGGGCGAGCAGCCCAAGCACTTCATGATTGTCAGTGACACCAGTTGCACATTTTTAAGAAGATATCACTTAGTGGTACTACTATTAACTGTTCCATTGACACCACCTACTATCACTGATCTTGCCCCAGCCGGAAGCGATCGCCTGCTCGCCGTCGTAAGCATTGTACGACTCCTGTTTGATGGGCAGCTGAGCGGGTTGAATATATTCATTGAGCTCGATAGGTACGGATAGCTTAATGACCGATATATCGTTGGATAGGGTGGATACATCTCATCCCTCATGCACAGTTACGTATTTTGTTGGCACAAAGATAATCTGCTGACCTTGTTCTCGTTTGTTAGTACAATTCCAGGCGCCCAGATAGATAGGTACAGCATTAGACTAACCTGATACGGAAACTGATTTCAGCCAGCTGTTTCACCCCTGGGAATGCGTCCGGCATGGCGATGAATTGGTAATTTGGGATCAATGTCCACCGATATGAGAGACTGCTAGTCCACGGCCGTGGTACCGTTTACGACGGATAGGACCAGCGATGCGTAAACGTATTTCATATTTGTCAACTGAGCTCACAAGCCATTGGGTATAATCTTTTACAGCTACATAATGGCCAAACAGTTAGCTAATCGGCTTCATACAGTATCGCTTATCAGTCTTAGAAGAACTGATTTACGATGATTGCTGAAATTGCTACTGATCCATAAATTATTAATAGTGGCTATAAAAAGTGCTACGTAATTGATAACTTTTGCTAACTTGCTTAGAAATATCGTTATATACTAGTTTTTCCATTTGGTTTCTAAATGCATTGCATATCATTTTTCTTATTCTTATAAAATTATAAAATTTATCCACCTAATAGCCAGAAAAACCAAAATAAACGATTATTTTTATATTCATGCGACAATGTAAGCTTTTATTCTAAGCACGCTTTAACAATTAGATGCCCTTGTTAACGACACCGGAGTTTTGTTCGATCCAGTCCAAGTAGGAGGTGATGCGTGTGAACACACCTGGCCAGCCAACCTCGCAGCCAAGAGCAATGCCAAAGGAAGTGGCGCCAATTAAGGTGTTGCTGCCATCATTTAATACCAAAGGGCCGCCGGAGTCGCCGTTGCAAGTGGAAGTGCCGCCAGTGGTCTTAATGCAAATGTTCGTTGAGCTCACGGCACCAATGTACCAAGGTGAGCAGCCTGAGTTGTTCATGATGGGGACAGTAATATACTGCAATATGTCAGTGGCACCACTTGCCTCTAAAAAAATATAGCATATAGCAAGCTAACTACTTCGAAAAGAAATCTAATTTAGAGCTTACGATCGGAAGTCTTGCCCCAGCCAGAGGCAATAGCCTGTTCGCCAGCATATGTGCTGTACTGGCCACTCTTGACAGGCAGCTTGGCTGGTTGAATATATTCGTTGAATACAATTTCCACAGGCAGCTTGATAAGAGAGATATCATTAGTGATGGTGGACGGGTCCCACTTCTCATGCACAATCACGGATTTGGTCTGCACAAAAATAATCTGTTGACCTTCCTCCTTCTTATTGGTGCGATCCCATGCGCCCAGATAGACATCCACGCCGGTGGTTAGAGAGTCTGTGCAGTGAGCAGCCGTAAGAATATAGCGTTCGCTGATCACAGTGCCTCCACACCAGGCAGCTCCTCCATCGACGTAGAGCATGAGTCCCGCCTGATAAGGGAATTGATTACGTGCAGCAATCTGGCCACTGGTGATGCGCCCAGCTGGTGAATCGTGACGACGAATCATAGGCACTTTGACATCAACGTCCAACGACTTGAGGGACTTCCAGTCCACGGCGTTGGTGCCGACAACGGCAACAAGAAGCAGAATCGATGCACAAGCGAATTTCATGATGAAAACAACTGAAGAAACTTGGCCAAGTCGACGATCTTTTATAGCAAATAAAGCTTGGCAACTGCATCATATATCTTGAGCTATCGCATATTCCTAATCATTTGATTTACAATGGAATACTGATTGTAGCTATTTCTAGTTCCGATGCCTTGATAATTGGCGTGTGCTACTTAATAAACCTATAAATGGGAAATTCCTTGAAAGGAACATTGTTATTATTATACACTGAGCCCATTGAAAATGGGAAATCAGGGTATAATGGTTTTGTGAAAAGTATGTAACAGGCAGAAGGAATCATCGCAGACCCCACAAAGTATATAGACGACGAGTTGAGTCGATATAGCCCTGTCCGTCTGTCCGTCCGTCCGTATGAGCAAAAAGATCTCAGAAGATATAAGAGCTAGAGAGCTGAAATTTGGCATGCATACTCGTGTATACCATAGGCAGTACAAGTTTATCCTATTTTTTCGATAACTCAATCGATAACTTTTTTATCGAGAATAATCGAAAAATCGACATTGTTTTTTCAGCCTAATTTGAACACTTTTAGACCTGGAGACTTCAAATTTACGTTGTACGTTAATGAATACAAAGATTTTCTAATTTACAGATTTTGGATACCACGCCCCCTTCGCCCCCAATTTGTAAAAAACGCATTTCAAGTACTAGAGACTTGTGCTTTGGAATGTACACACATTTAAGATTGTATATCTACAAAAGAAGTTATTCAACAAATAAATTCTCATAATATTGCCCGCATTGCAGCGCAGCCCAAGCGCAGCCGCTGCTAGCTGCGCAGTCAGCAGAACGCGTGCTTATAAGTGCATGTGTATGTATGTGTGCATAAAAGAAGTCCAGAATGATTAGAATATCAGCTTGGAGGGTTCAGGGTATCCCCTAGTCGAGCAGTCTCGACTGGAGCCTTCTTACTTGTTTTTTTTTTTTTTTGCCAAATTGCCTAAGTAAATAAAATAAAAATAAAGAAATGACGCAAAACTAATTAGAACCGTATCCATATTACGCTCCTTCGCCCCCAATTTGTAAAAAAACGCATTTCAAGTACTAGAGACTTGTGCTTTGGAATGTACACACATTTAAGATTGTATATCTACAAAAGAAGTTATTCAACAAATAAATTCTCATAATATTGCCAGCATTGCAGCGCAGCCCAGCGCAGCCGCTGCTAGCTGCGCAGTCAGCAGAACGCGTGCTTATAAGTGCATGTGTATGTATGTGTGCATAAAAGAAGTCCAGAATGATTAGAATATCAGCTTGGAGGGTTCAGGGTATCCCCTAGTCGAACAGTCTCGACTGGAGCCTTCTTACTTGTTTTTTTTTTGCCAAATTGCCTAAGTAAATAAAATAAAAATAAAGAAATGACGCAAAACTAATTAGAACCGTATCCATATTAATATTCAATCAGAAATTTGTGAATCCGTTAATATGTCTAAATCGAGTGTAGCAAATTAGAATAAACAAGTAAGAAAGCTCTAGTCGAGACTGCTCGACTACGAGATCTACTGAACTCATCTAAGAATTGATATTCGCGTCTTTCTGCTTACACAAGAAACACACACATACATAGGTATGCACGCATACATAAATACGCGTGGACTGCAGAGTGGGCGAACTATGGGAACTTAATTGGTTAATAACTTTTCTTGTCTTTTCTTGTTGTTGATGTCGACTATCTCCATGAAACTTGTAGACATTGATATGCGTGCAGGTGCCAAAGTACAAATATGTGGGTGAGGGGTTGGATATAGGGGTGGGGGTTAAATTACAACAAAAATCGAAATTATATAAAATACATATAAGGTTCCATTTAAGTTTGGAGACTGTAGCTCTAAAGGTGTAGGAGATACAATTAATTAACTACTTTTCGGTAAGGGTTTGTATCGACAACAAAATATCGGGAGTAGTTATCGATATTGGGAGAAAAACGATATACGCGTGATATACACCGACCTAGGAAACAAAATTTCAAGTCTTTAGCTCAGACAGACAGGGCTAAATAGACTCAGCTCTCGTCGCCCTGATCAAGAATATATATACTTTGTGGGGTCTGTCACGCCTCCTTCTGCCTGTTACACACTTTTAACAAAACCATTATACCCTGATTTCCCATCTTCAATGGGTTCAGGGTATAAAAATTGAAACAAAAGTAATTTATTTATCTCCATTCACAAACCAAATATATAATATCTAATTAGTACACTTCAAATACTCTACTAATTAACACCTGCCTAGGGAGATTTATGGAGACATAGACACATAGCCGATAGAGGCATTCATATATTTTATTATGTACTTACTTCCTTACACCTCAAACAAATTTGCATTTAATAAAGCGGTTTTAGCTTTTTGTCGTGTATCGTATATTATAAGTATTATAAACACTCATAAAAATAATAATAGTATCAATTTTCTATGCAAAGCAAAGAATTAAAACGGAAACTGATTTTGATTTTGATTTATATAATATTCATTTGTTTAACTGAAGGTCAAATTAATCTGAATACCCTGAATACACACCTTCATAAGTTTAATGTGACTTTTGAATGCTCTGTAAAAAAGATAAAGGGATGTATAAAAAAAATTTAAAAACATGATCCTGTCCGTTTGCTGTCCGTCCGTCCGTCCGTCCGTCCGTCCGTCCGTCCGTATATATGAACGCGTCGATCTTAGAAGATATATAAACTAGAGACTTAAAATTATTTTCGAGTTTTTCTCCAAGAAACGATAAAAACCCAATATTTTATTATTTATTATATCTTGTGTAAGCAGAAACAGGCGAATAGTTAGTGAAATATCAATTTTTAGAAGAGTTCAGGGGATTTCGTAGTCGAGCAGTCCCGACTATAGCTTTCTTACTTGTTGAATATT